GAAACATTGGTAGACATCCGAAGAGGCGCAAATGGGATCGATATTCTCGTTCAATGGGCCGGGCTACCTGATGAGGTAGATCAGACCTGGGAACCGTTGTTACAACTCAAACAAGATGTACCCGACCTTCTCCGTGATTTTCTGATATCGCCCGGAAAGGAAGAACTCAAGACAGCGGCGAAAGATCAAACGATATGAATTATTTCTTACTCGTGAACATCAATTCATGGGGAACTGTAATCATTCGCCTGGAATATTCAACTCAAGGAAATGGTACACGTTTCTGCACATATCTATATGGATATCGATGACCCTTCGGACCATAATTTGTGCGTGAGCATTAATTAGAAGTTACACAGTTGTGCACAGTCGTACAACGCTTACGACTGTACAGAGGTCACAGAAGGTGTTACTGTCTTTTGCTGATAGCATCCAACCTTTGTACGGGATAACAATTGGAAGAGTTAATTGCAGTGCCCGTCATGACCTAAGGGAAATTGGAACTATGTAATTCTTCGTCTTCATGCCTAATTGCTCATGTTAAGCGCTGCACGACCTTTCAGGCGTGTGCTCGTAGCGCGGGTACCTCGTAATGGAGGTCTATAAATCCCGGAGCGCTGTGTAGCCTCCAGAGAAATAAAGGCATCGGACAACGGGAGCGTTTATCCGTCTGTGCGAGGTACCTTCTCTTTCTGTTTTTCCCCACAAGTTGCTACACCGCTTCTTGGTCGATTTGCCAGGCTTTGAGGCCTTGCCACTTTTCATACGTTCCAACCTTTTTTGCTCCATCAGTTTTTTTGGCTTCTGCCTTCTGTTCTTTCTGCAGTTCTCTTTCTTTTTGCCGGGCAGCGTTTTCCCCCGCCTTTTGTCGCTGTAGCCGATCCTCCTCAATGTTTTCTGCTTCCTGCGCACAGTAAAATCGCCAAACGTCAGATAAATTGCAGGCGTCCCCAGCTGAATCGTTTCTCTTCTGCCCATGTGACCCTTTGCTTTTGGTCCATGTGACCTGGGAGCACTTGCATTTATGACAATTTTGTTAACGCTATCATGATTTGCATCTCTGCCCCTATTATTGCAAGTAAAGCGGACTTTTCGTTGTTGACAATTTCTTTCAGCTTTTCGAAGACAGCTTTGTCATTCTTCCTCTGTACTGCGGATGCGCCACAATTCGATAAAGGCCTTTGTTGGGCTTCCCGTAGCACTTCCTTACGAATATGATCGTTTTCAAACCGTTTAAGAAACCTATAGTCCATTGGTCACACTTCAGTAAATTTACTGCTCTCTACCGTCGGTCTTTGGCCATTGCGTCCCGACTGTCCATTTGCTTGGCACGCGCTGCCTGATGGCGCATTCCAATCGACATCGAAGGGGACATGGATTGTGCGTAACTGGAGACCTGTTTCGTGAACAGGACGAGGAGGTGTTTGATCGTGGATCGAATACTACTGTTTGGCCTTTAACGGTGTTGTGTGCCCGCCATTTTTGTTGGCGGGATGGGGAGAGGCGAGGAGGCAACATTGCAGGGAACTGTAGACGTAGTGAATGCTCCAGGCCCCGGAGCGTTTCCCTGGAGTCCAGGGATGAATGACTGCACCGATTCTTGTCCGCACTGCGCTTACCTCAGTGGCATGCTTTCGTACAGTGAGATTGTGGTGACGAGACGATGACTCTCATTTACTTCCCTCACTCTCACTCATTCTTTTAAGACTAGCGACCTAGCGCCGTCATCTGTGCGGCGTTGTGAGCCGTGTATTACGTGTGCACGTGTGTGCATGTATGGTTATCATTACAATTATCACCTTGTGAGTGCCATAGCGACTTCGTTGTTATGGTTATCATTACACTCCCCCCGTCGCTGTGGCACGATCCTTTGTTTGGTGCGGGGTCGAGGGGTCACACACTTGCAGTTTGGTTTTTAAGTGTGTGAATGGGTTCGGTGTTAGCGGCTTTGTGAGTATATCGGCAAGAATGTCTTGTGACTGTATGTGTCGTATACTGATCGTTTTTGCTCTGGTCTGGTGGGTGCGGTAGTGATGCCGGAGGTCAATGAATTTTCTTCGTTTCGTGGGTCCGCTGTTCTTGGCCACGCGTATTGCGGATTGGTTGTCTATATGAAAGGGTGTGGCTTTCTGTGATAACATTCCGATGTCTTTGAGCAATCTTCTTATCCACGTTGTTTGTTGTGCTGCCGATGTTGCGGCAATATATTCTGCTTCGCATGTCGACAGTGCCGTGATGGATTGCTTGATTGAGCCCCAGCAGACAGGGGAGCCGTGGTATGTGTGGATCATGCCCGACATGGATTTACGGTCTGTGACGTCTGCGGCAAAGTCCGCATCACTGTATGTTTCGAGGAGGTTGGGGATACAGTGAGTTTGCATTCTATGTTTTCCTGCTGCAAATCTGATTCCATGCGTTTGGGTGTGTTTAAGATATCTGATGAGGCGCTTGAGGGCATTCCAATGCCGTGTCGTTGGGTTTTTTGCCGCCACAGATAATCGGTTTGCGACAAAGTATATGTCTGGTCGCGTTGAGTCGGCAATGTATCGTATGTCACCAAGCAGCTGTTGGTATATTTTGGTGACATGGGGCATGGGTTCGTCTTCGGGAACCGGGCCATTCAGCTTTGTTTTGTCATTGTATGGCGTTGGTTTGCTGTTGCACTTGCTCATTTCTGCTTTGTTGACAACGTACTGTATCGCAGTTGGCTGTGATGCATGTATGGAGCCGTCTTTCATGCGCTTGACGGTCCAGCCTAGGAGCTGGCTTGGTTCGCCCAGCTGTTTGATATTATAGGGCGTGGCCAGGATCGCGGCAAACTCTTTCTGTAGTTTTTGTGATGTGCTTATGATTGTAAAATCATCCATGCTGATGGAGATTACTATTGTGTGGTTTTTGTCTTTTTTGTGGAAGAGGCACATGTCAGCTTCAGATTGGATGAACTTGTTCTTTTTGAGTAGTTTGAATACAGCGTTGAGGTAGGTGTGTTCCGCTCCCGGTGTGCCGTATATGTTCTTGTTGAGCTTGCCCACCTTGTGTTCATGAGTGTACGTGCCGTCGAACCTTGGGTGTTGGCGGACATACACTTGCTCGCTGCCTGAGTGTTAAAACTTTTCGTGCAGGTATGCGGCTTTTATGTCTATGTGGGCTATGTGCATGTTAAACGCTGCTGCTATGGCGAATAGCCCTAGAAGAAAAAATTGGATTTTTTGAGTGCACCTACAGTGCAAGTTGAGATTTTTTGCATATTTGAGTGCACTGTGAACGCGAATTGTTGCCGCTGTTGGCCACACAACTTCCTATTGGTGGCACTTGGAGTGCACCCAGAGGGCGGCCTGAGTGTATGATAGTCCTGCACTCATACCGCCCTCCGAAAATGCTATGTAACCTGGAGTGCGAGGTGAGTGCACTGTGCATTGCATGCTGCATCGCATTTCGTGGTGCACTCACTCTGCACGCAACTTGCGTCCAAGTCCATAGTTTAGATGGAGGTTGGAGGCTAGGGGGTGGAATTTGGAGCTCGGCAGTCAACTTGGTATTCGTTGAGACGAGAAGATGGTGGGCAAGTCACGTGCAGCAAACCAATACCACTTTGCTGCTTGCGATTCATGCGCTGGTTCTTGGGCTGCGTAGAGTGCCAGAGGTCAGAGGAAGCGATGCGCTTCAAGTGCGTAAACTGTCACAGCAGCCTTTGAGGAAGAAGGTGTACCATCGCTCGGGCTTGATGTGAAGGTACGAGAAATGTTGTACCGCAGCTGTATTAGTGCGACCAGGAGCATACGAGATTTCCGTCAAGCTTTACGAGAATTTGGGCGCGTCTATTCTCTGGCTCTCATCTCGAAATGAGAACAACACTACTTTCAATGCTAGGGCTGTCCAGAACCGGCCTGCTCAACCAACTTGCATTTTGACTGCGTTTCATAGAGAACCAGTCGATCACGAGAATATCGCCATGGTTCGCGGCGGCACCATGGTTGGACTCCCTACACCCCCATTCTGAATGAATCATCGTGGCTACATGTAAACGGCCTGAAGAGACATAGAACACACTTGTGGAATTTACTATGGAACCCAGGCTCGGAGAAATGCTCGACTTGAAGAGCTAACTGATATTGAAAATCTTACAAAGAAGCTACGCCCTCTGAAGAAGACCCGCCTATAATCAGAAGCATCTCCTCGGACTACTGCCAAACACTGAGTTGTCTGAAGGGCTAGTTAGGAGGAATCAAGCTCCGGCATACGATCTGGAGAAGTGGAAGTGACAGCTTGGAAGAGTGCATCAATGTTGATTTCTGCAGCCGAGGTTCCTAGATCGTTCGTTGTGTACATACCATTCTAAATCCAGAGCTGCTCTTATGTTTGGATGCTTTCGGATGCGATTCGACTCTCAGGATCTGTGATGTCCCTTTTTCCTCAATCGAAATTCCCTGCAATATCAATGGCGTCCGGGTGCTACAAAACTGTTGACTTTGTGCCTGGAGCTGAGAGACGATGCATCCTTGTTTGCAAGACCCCGCCTGCTCCCGCTGATCCACCCAGTATCGGAACTGTCAAAATTCCACAAAAAGCCGGAACAATCTACAGTTGCGCAAGTCAAGGTCCCGCCTCAAGACGTCGCCATGGCCGACGTCGTTCCTAAGCCTAAAGGTCAGGCTCCTGTAGACAAATCAAGCCAAGACGCAAATAAGACCTTGGCACCCACACAAATGAAAGGTGTATCTAAAGCGAAAATGCCAAATCCTGCTGTCAAGCCTGTGTTGAAAAGGCAAACCGATGCTCAGCAGACATTGCGCTGCGTTCCCATCGAGGGAACAAGCGGAGGGATGTCGTACACCGTCGATAACGTCATGATAATTGTAAGGGAAGGCACATCAAAGCCAGTACGTGATTCATTCTGGACCGCGCGGGACTCGTCGGAAACGACGGACCAACGCATCATGGCTCATTTGATCTCGCCTACATCGGTTGCATTCCTAACATGATAATCATGGCCCCCAGTGATGAGTGAGCTACAAAATATGGTCGCCACATCATTGGCAATTAACGATAGCCCCTCTGTCGTGCGCTACCCTCGTGGAGTTGGGGTGGGTCTTGACGTTATTAATCAGAAGCTTGGTGGCAAGTATGATGTGATGCCAGAATGAGGTCATGCGATTGCGATTGGCAAGGGTCGCATCATTCGCAACAAAGCTCCAAGCCCGAAGGAGGGTTCAGTCGCAATTCTCAGTCTAGGAACCAGGCTCTTGGAGAACGTGAAAGCAGCCGAAGCTTTGGAGGCGAACAACATCCCTGTCACGGTCGCTGACGCTAGGTTTATGAAGCCTTTAGATCGAGATCTGATTCGTAAGCTTGTCAATGACCATGAAATTATCATCACTGTGGAGGAAGGTTCGATCGGTGGGTTCGGAGACCATGTGGTACACTTTGCTGTGCTCGAGGGTATGTTGGACGATGGAAAGGTCAAGATCCGCCCCATGGTTCTACCAGATCGATACATTGATCATGGCAGCCAAGGTGAGCAGTACGAAGAAGCTGGACTGAGTGCATCCCACATTGAGGCGACAGCAATGAGACTGGTAGGAAGGTCTGCTACAGTGTTGACAAGTGCACGTGCCCTTGATCTTAACCAGATGCAAAAGTGAAGGATGCACGCAATTCCTTATGGCAATGAAGCGATAGGATTAGAATTCTCCCTTGGCTTTCGATGCTCGTCATTGACGGATGTCGTCCAGATATACACCTCTGTAGCCCTTTTTCCGAACCACGGCCAGTCGTCGCAAGAGACGGCGATAACATTTCTGCCGTAGCAGCCGCGACGATGTATCAATGTAATAAAATAAACCCGAAAGCAAAACGAAAGCAGCAAAGCAGATCGTATCGAAGGCCAAGCGGTAGACACTTTTAGTCAGGTTGTTGATACTTGCGCGTACGCGGAGGAGAGACCAGGTAGATTTTGTACCACTTCTTGTTGAACCCTACGACGGACCCACACGCACGACATTTCCTCTCATCTCTCGAACGCGCTGCGCCGGTGAAAAGGCACGAAACGGGCAACCCGCAGATGGGACAGTCTCCTCGCATCAGCGACGGCTGGCCGAGGTCGAGATAATCCAGCATAACAGGGGTGACTTGGTTTGACAACCAGAAGGTCAGCATAACGACGACGTACGAAAGAATGCCCAGTCGAAATCGGCCGGCGTTGGTCACTTTGATGCGCATCTCTCCATCTAGCAGAGCAAACAATATGGTGAAGACGGACGCGGTGACAAAGGACATGAGGACAGCAGGGAGGTAGAGCAGCATGATCTTGAGGCGCTCTTCGCTGGCATCGGAAAAAAGAAGCCTGTATTCACGCAAAACGGAGAGACGCACATCATATCAAGACAAGCTGAACAAAATTGGTAAGAGACGCACGAAAACGAGACGAAGATGCGGGCAATCAACAGCGTTGCTCGCGCGCAAAGACGCACCATTTCAATCTCTCTTCAATCTTGTCGACAGCCTTAATCGTCTGGGCATCCCTGATAAATTCGGCATCGACCGGAAGCGCGCGCCTCTTTGTGCTCCCTTTTCTCGGCTCCAGCATCGCCGTCGGCCTCTTCGCCAGCCCCGACTTAAGAAGCTTAGTCTTGAGCTTTTTCAAGTCGTCCTCCGACATCTCGAACTCCTCCCTCACGCGGCGGTCAAAATCCCTCGCACTAGTAGCCTGTATCCAGATCTTCTCCATGGCGCCTAGGCGGATATTGGAAGAACCGAGATGATCCAACTCGTCGCGCAGCGTCTCAAACTCCGAGTCGCTGAACATGGGCGTCCCCTGGTAGTAGGTCTTCAGGGCCTCCAGGAAGAGGCCTTCCAACGCCATGACCCACTCGTCCGTTTCTGAGAACTCATCAAAGTTGTCCTCAGAAGAAGGGGGGGTGGGAGGCGTGGAAGACGAGCTGGTGACGGGAGGGGACTGGGGCCAGCAGGGCGCGGGCGGAGGCGGCAAGGGGTAGAGATGGGCGGCGTAGGGACTGAAGGTGGACTGCGAGAGAGCCGGGTTGCAGGCTGCGCGGCGGGGTGGGCGGGCGCGGCGGCGGATGGTGCGGCGGCGTGGCGGCTCGGTCGGGGGCTCGGAAGGATCCCCATCGCGAAATGTGACGTCTGAGAGTTCTGGGAAACGTACTACATCCAAGCCGATTAGCACGCCCGGACGCATGAAGATCAACCTTAGTGGTATTGCGGACAAGCAAGCGTCAACCGCTCAGAGGCAAACACCTCACAAAAAGACGGCCGCGGTTGCCGAGCACAAGATCGTCGACGTACAGGCATCCCAACGGACCGTCGGGCACGGCATGCAACAACACAATGTGAAACTGCAGCTGCTGGCACCCACTACAAGACCCGTTCCCTCGAGCCCGAAAAAGAGGCCTGCCTTCCGCTTGGAAGAACGAGGAGAGAGCTCCATGAAGAAAGCAAGGCTGGCCGTCCCGAAAAAAGGCCCGTGGCCGGAGCACATGCCGAGGGGAGCGTGCAGCGGAAGCAGATTCAACCCCAGTCTAGTCTGAAACGTACGCCACAGCCCCTGATGAACAACACCTTGGAGGCTAGAAAGATGAAGGCGTTGCCAGTACCGGGTGCATCAACACGGCCTGCCGTGGCGATCTCCAAACCGATTTCCGTTGTGATGCAACCAGCCCCTGCCATGACCGGCAGCGTGAATATTTCGTTAGAGGAAAAGGAGGCCTTCGAGCTAGATGGGAAGCGCTTGACGGACGTACTCGCCGCGATCAAGTCTGCCGTGAAATCTGCTGGAATTGGCGAGGCCCACAAGCCAGCATCCCTCTCGCGGTGCCAGCCGAAAAATGTGTCAGACTTTTTCGACAGACTGACGCCGCTAGCTCGTATGCGGACGCCGCGGATTTTACTGAGGGGGAGGTTGACATTGACGAGCATGAGGCACGCAAGGCTAGCGGCGAGGGCGAAGACGCTGCAGAAGCCACCGCCCACCCCGGGGACAAGGGAGCTAGAGTTGATTCCAAGGGAGACGTTGGACAGTTGTTTTGTTGCCATTTTTAAAAAATAACCAATTTTTGCCGTTTCTAAATATCCCACACTGTCCAATTGCGGAACGCTTTCGTCACTCCTCGAGAGGCCATGAACATGATCATTCCCGAACCGCAACACGCTTTACGGTACATTACAAACATCGAATCAACAGTCGTGATTCCAAAAATCCGCATTGCATCCGCTCAAAAAAAGTGCATCCGCTCTTCGAGGCGTCGCAAACACGATCGCGCCCTCTTCGTGCTCCCGTTGATGGCGAGTTCTCGATTGGGCGCAAGCGCTCTACTTCCCCCCGGCTCCCCTCAGCGCAACACCCCACTATCCGACCATAACGCTATGCCACTGACACGGCGTCGTGTTTTGCGTGCGCCGGTGCCGGCTGCCTGCATGTTCACGCACGCTGCCTTGCCTCCGCCCAGCCCAGCCTTTCGCTATCACCGCCACAACCTCCCCTAAACTCTGCTTTCCGCTTTGAAAGCAGAGCAACACCGTAAGTTACTAGGTGACCAGCGTGAAAAATCTCTCTCTTCCTGATGTTATTCTGACTTTTGTGGTTCTCTATTTACTGTCCTGCACGATCACCTGATATGTCCATGTGGTCGTCAGACACGCGCTGGCAAGGGTCAGCGCGGAAGTCGGGGCAGTGTTTTTATCAGAACGGTTTCCAGTAACCGACAGCTTGCCTTGCAACCTAGAGTCAGAAGAAACGGTACATTTACCTATGCCTATTTGCCTACACCTACGGCCCCTCTCCTGATCCATCGTCACAAACAGCTTTGCATCAGTACTTGAAATGTATGCATAGAATCGCATTTTGAGTATCAAATTCATAAGGCGTCTTACGAAGATAATCGAGTGCGCCCGCGGGCCATGCCGCGAGCTTTTCCTCGAGCAAAAATTGCTTTGATGACTTACGCAGACGTTCAGACCCTTCCGCGGCCTCTGCCGCGGGCGCGGCCCCATGAGCGGCCACGACGACCACCGGCACCTCTCTGGGCCGTTTGTCGATTCGCTGCCATTGAATCATCAACGCGGCGACGCTTCGTTACAGAATCAATTTCGACGGACTTTGCCCTCTTTGTACTCTTTTTTGCGCCAGTCGTGATGTTTTCATTCAACTCTGACTGATGGGGTGTGTTCGTGGCCAGAAAATCCTGAGTAATTCTCACAGGAGCTCTCACTTCTGTATCGGATGCACATGCGCTTCCTGCCGGCATGTGATTTGCAGATGAATCGATTGATGCATTTCCTGTTTCGACTTGGGTTTCACGCACCCGGGCGGGACTTGAGCGCCTCTTAGACTTCATCTTTTGCTCTGCAAGCCAGCGAATGGCCCAAAGGTTTGATGTCTCTTTGAACACGATGAAATCGTTCATTTTCTCCGCTTTGCGAACAACGGCCTCACACTCAGCGAAAAACGCCCCGCGACTGACAGTACCCCAGACGTAGTCGCCGAAATTCTTTCCAATACATTCGATCATCAAAAGTTCTAACACATCTTTGGCATCTGTATTGAGTTTTCGTTCACTTGCGTACTCGGGAAACTGCACATACTTCGGGGAGCCATCTGGCACATTTGCATTGGCAAGTGTGATCGCCTTGCGAAGAAGGTCTGCCACATTTGCGTCACGTTGGAAGTCCACTTTTCGCACCGGACTGGGTATCGGAGGAAGTGCACAATGCGGATCGAGTTCATCAATAGAGGCTTGGAACTTTTCTAGAGCCCTGTTTACCAGGGTTAGCATTTCTCTCTTGAAACGCTCCAGGCATCGCTCGAGAGGACTCAAGGCAGTTGGCATGGGAAAGGGATACTGGAAGATGAGCTGATAAAGCCCGCACCTTGTGGAAAATGAAAAACGCTTTCTGAGGGAAGGGCAGGTGGAGTTAGAGAAAGAAGATGCCAATAGGAGTGTGCTGGGTGAAAAGTGGAAGCGTTGGTGATCGGTCGGAAAGAGACCAGCGGATGTGCCATTTTCGTTTGGGAGTTGCAGTTTTATTTCCATTACGTTTCGGTTCATATATTGCTCTCCGGGTTCGGACGCGGTGCTCGGAATGTACTTGCGCAATTTCGCAGAGAACTAGTCCGCCACTGATTTTCAAAAGTCTTGAGAGACTGTCAAAACTGTTGCATTCCGCGATCTACTTTCCTCTTGGGCCAATTTTCGGCCTGTGACTACGAAAAAATCTAGTTCAGATGCGTTGGAGCTGTGATCTTGGAATCTATTATCTCAAGAATAACTGCAACTTCAGGGAAAATTTTGACGAGAGTAGGAAAATACTAGGAGGCAGGGACCGCGCGCACCGGCGACGCAGTTGAGACCGCAGTTTTGATGTGGCAAAGAGGCTGTTGGGAACAAAGATGCCGCAGTATATCTGCCTGCCTGCCTATGATTGCAGATGCTATCCGCGGGGGAGGGCTGTTTGTCTAAAGACAATGCTGAATCATCGTCGTGCAGCAAATGATCGTTTTGTGGCCAACGGCCTTTCTGAGATGCTCCCCAGGGGCCCTCGAGTCGGGGACGCCAACGATGTCCTGCAAGAATATGCTGCCATTATCGACGCCGCGAACCGTGACGCGGTAGTTTCCCGGAAAGAG